GGGGAACTCTGCAAAAAACGCATCTTCGCACGGGCAGCCCGTGCGTTGGCCAATTTTTTAATTTTAGGCACTAGGATATTTGTTAGGCATGGTTTTCCAAGAAGATATTTTTAGCAATTCTTGAGCGCAGAAAAGTATTTGCTTTTTCTGGGGCATGAACAGCCGTATTCCAAATTAATATCCCTCCGATCCATATTTCTCTTTATTCGCTTTAATCTCAGTTAAAATGGATTTTCTGGCAAGGAAAGTGCATTTATATGTGCTATTCTTTCGCTGAGGTGATTTATGCGGGATAAAACTAAGGCTACCCGTTGTCCTTTCTCGCCTCCGTATATCTGTACAGATGACCTACAGATCTAAGTCTGATTTTCCTTCATTTTTTCTTTTGCGGTTGAGAATACCAAATAAATCTTCGGAGTGTGAGGATTCAGCTATAAAAGGGTATGTTGGTTGGTTTTTTTGCTCTATGCCAATCCGTCGAATTGATCCGAAAAAGACTCATCTGTGCTTTAGTGTTTTTCTGATGTAATGAAAAGAAGAATGCTAGATTTTGACACTAACCTCATTAAACGACGAGTCCATAATAGAGTCCGGTTTTTAAGAGCTTGAGGTCGTATTGTCAACAGAAGAGAGGGAGGGGGTATCGGAATAAGGAGGAGGAGGGGGCGGGGGAGAGGAGGAGAGAGGAAGAGGGCAAGTACCACTTTGTTGGACCTCGTCATATTTAGAGGGCATCTCTTTTCGCTGCTTCAGTCCCATTTGCTGTGTTATATATTACATTTTTCAAAAACATTTTGTTACGTGATTGCTCATCGTTGTGATTCAACAAAAACGTAGCGCTGAAAGGAAAAACATGTCATCTCGTAAATTCTATACTTTTGAATTTTATCTAGCATTAAATTCACTGCTGCGACCATTTTTTAGTTTCCTGAAATTGAAAGATGTTGATTGAATAATGAGCGAAACAGAGGTCAGAAATGGTGCCCGCTCGACCGATAACTGCTTCCCACTTTTAAAATAATTGGCCAGCTCACCGTCTGTCGGTGCGAAGATGCGTTTTTGCATAGTTTCCCCCAAGTTTTTGTCGCTAACGGCACTGATTTTTCCGGCAGATGCTTCTAGCTAAAAGAATTAAGATTGGCCACCAGGACTGTCAGAAAACATCCCCTTAAAATTTCAGCTTTCTGCCCTTTCTGGTTTCCGATTTGGCGGCTCACCGCCAAAAACTTTGACGGGCCCGTACGTGGAAAGCACGTAGACAGGAGCTGCCACTTTGGAGTTGGAGGCCCGTACATGCATGAAAGCCCGTACATGCATGGAGGCCCGTATATTTCGAAGTTTTAGCCTTGTAGCTTTTATAGATTTTGAGATGATACCGACAAACATACACAGACACAAACATACACCCACATACAATCCTTCAACAGTATACGTTTTTACATTGCATAAATGCAAAAAACGGATAGCAAAAGTTTAGCAACTTGTTGCCTAGAGAATAGGTGCGATCGTGCGTTTTTGCAGTGAATTGTTCGAAGGACATAACAGATGGATATGTTTGCACATGGCTTGTGCTGCACAGAGCATCCTGCCTTTTGTTCATTAAGCATCTAAAGAATTATGGAAGGATGGCTTGCAAATTTATATGTACAAACAAAAATGTGAAAACAAAGAAACTGAGGTTTCTGCATATTTTTTGCCTTTTATATTGTTCTGCATACTGCAGCGGGAAAAATCCAGTTCCACGTTTGCGTAGTTTTAAGGATCTTATTATTTAGCTGAATTTGTACTTTTATACTTCGATTAGCCGCCTGATTCTCCTGTCACACAGCTGGCAACTTTCCCAAAGTTTCTTTGGTCAGTGTCGCACTTGGTGGTGATCATCCTGACCTTCAGCTCATCTTCGGGATGAATTACAAGTTCAGCTCGGCAAAAGTTTCCAGTAGGACTTTAGCTATCCCAGGGTGACATCCACTGGTGTGTGCGTGGGTATATTTATATGTGTGTGTCTGTACATCTATGTGTTTGTGTGTACGTATATGTCAATTATCTACCTGGATACTTGAGCAGTTTTATTTCATCGACGTCCGTTGTCACGCCATCGATCCAGCTGACAACTTCTCCATTCGATTCGTTATTGCGCTGTCCGAGTTCACGCGATACCGTACAGGCGTACCTTGGGGTCTCTCCATCTCACTTGTGGCCTCCCCAGTGTTCGCTTGTAAGTGCGCGGATACCTTTATCCGCTTCGTCCATCTGTTATCGGACATCCGTACCTCATTATCAGCCCAGCTGCTCTTTCTGGCGTACATTGCTTCA